CACGTCGATGTAAAAAAGCTCGGCACTCCCACGGAGATTCGAGCTTAAAAACGAGCATGTCTGGGGAGAGGCGTGACCACGGCGGCTGTAATTACATGACTGTGTCAGTAAAACGCTGGGGGGGAAGAGCAGGCAGCTCTCAGATCTACTGCGCAAAAGATGTGTAGGACAGCCTGCATGACAAACAGCAAACTACAGTGCATGTCCACAACAAAAATCAACAGCTCCATTTAGATTATTACATTATCCAGGGAAATAAATGTGCTGTTTCCCCTTGCAAAACCACAATCTAGAGTGTCGTTTTGTGGTTGCTAAGGTGTTGCTACTGTAAGTGCTTGCTATGCATTTTTTAAATGTTCTGACCACTACGATGCTAGGCTGGTACAATGCAGTTGCTGGTTGTTAGTGTGTTGCTAGGCAGTCGCTACAGCAGTGGTTCCCAATTCAGATGACTGAGATCATCAGCTTGTTAGGAGAGAGCTCCATGAACCAAGCTACGTTCTGATTGACAGGATCTCTACACAGTGACTGCTCCCTATTCCCTAAGCACATTCACTTCACTAGACAAAATGTGCTCATTCAGAACACCCAGCAACGTCATCAAACACAGACGAAACTTCAGTAACTAGCCTACATTTTAGAGAAGTTTGAGGTATGACAATACTTTTGTAAATAAATTAACATACTTTTTTTTAATAAACATGCATATAAAAAAGTCCAAGTGTATGGATATAAATGTGTTATTATTCACTGATACTAAATGCCAATGCCAAAAACCAATTATTCAGAATGATATCTGCCGATACCGATAGTTTTCAGCATTGTTTTTTCCCCCCAAACCAATGATTGCAAACTACACAGGGAGCCCTCTCATTTGGGACATAATATTAGAGGTTAAAATTAACAACAAAAGTATTATATTCAATGCTATTTATTTTCAGATATAATATTTACACTCAAATACAAAAGCAAAATGCACATAAGGTAGTTTTCATAAAAACTAGTAGTAGTAGTTTTCATAATGAAAATGCTTTGAAACCTCATACTACTCAAAACTAAATGCGATATGGTGATTAAAATTATGTTTGTACTTTACTTTGGAGAGCCGCTTCAGCGCGCACGTGCTTCAGATGAGCAATGCAATCAATCCCAGTTCTAAAGCTACACAGGACATGGCAAGCGGTGAAATCACCGTGCGGCTGCCACTTTCTCTCATTTTGGATGCGTTTTGTACAGTCAAAGCAGTGCTCGTGTCATGGACTCGAGACGGACGTTGCCATAGTAATCGTAAAGCGTGACAAAATGACTAATCACTAAAGTCAGCTCATCCAAAAATTGTAATTCGGTGTCTGTTAACTCACTCTCATGTTGTTCTCGCACATCAAACACACTTTAAAACGTCCGTGATTATTTATTTTTGCTAATTATTTTAACAAACTTTTGGCACCCTACAAAATTAATTTTGTCACAATATTTGAATTTCTAACTTCGATATGATAATTTGAAAAGTATAGATATTCGGTACAACAGGGAAGAACTGCAGAATATAATGTCATACAGATATTTTTAATATTATTAAAAAATTTTGTCCATCAATGGTGGCAATCAGTATAAAAGGATTTTTTACACAGCAACCCCTGCTCTCGACAGACGGCACCCCGGTTGGGAAACACTGCTTTAGACCATCTACAAATGTTAAATCTTCAAATAAAATGTTAAGGTTACCACTGCATTTGTCTGAAAAAAAGAAAGAAAAGAAATGCAGCGATTGACATATATTTATTTTAATTTTTTTTAGCTTTCAGTGAACTCTCATTATAAAATAACTTAATTGTTTATTTAATTCTAACAAGTAATACTAAGTAATTTTGGTTAAAAACTATCCAAAATTAAAAATAATTTGTTTATCATTTCTGCATAGGAGAGACTTGGTGTTGTTTCCAAACAAAAGGAAATATATTGGTATCTGCATTGCCTATCGGCCAAAATTAGTTGAAAAATATCGGCATATCGGATACTGGCAAAAATCCAATATCGTTCATCCCTACTCCTACTATATGTGTGATACATACCCTGAATAATATTTCCTAAAAGCATAGATGTAAATGTGTTTGCTTACTGGATCCAGTCAAAACAGTCCCAAATTTTTTAAGATATTCTGGTCCTCGGACATGGCTTGGATCCCTCATTCAATTCAATGTTAATCTGTGGGATTTTTCACCTGTTTTAATAAACCATACCATTTAAATTGGCTTTCAGGTTCATTAATGGTGCGGAATGAGTCATGCAGAAAAGTTTAATATTTAAAAGTAAGGGATTTGAACATTCTCTCATACCCAAGTATGAGCAAAAGTAATAGTGATGCTTGCTTGCTGACCTTTGAAACACTGTACAGAACAACATGGCACAAATGCATTAACAGATTCCTGCTGTTGACAAAGAAACCTTGAGAACTAGGATACGAAACTAGCTTTTGGAGAGCAAATGGACAAAAACGTTGTGAAATTCAAAACCTGATTAAATTAACATTACCCATGACTAACAACAATAAAATCTACCTAGCGTTGTTTGGACTTACTTAATTTCTTTGTCCTAGAACACGTCCAAATCCTTCGGTTTAAAATGTACAATCAATTGCATTTCCACAACAATTTAAATTCTTATGGTATAGAAAACTGTACCAATCAGCCCAGATGAAAAATAGACAGCAGCAGATGGCCGATCATGTATGTTATTTGTAATCTAGCGCAACTGCTTAAACCGCGCAACCCCCTTCCCCAAGAGAAGACAGATGCGATGAACTCCCATTTGTATAAATGCCTTTCACAATTTGTTGCACAAGTTGCTCAGAGACTAACAGAATGTCAGGGGCCCTGCTTTCGGGGAAGTTTACATTTCATAGGTCGTTGACTCAGTTTAGATATTTTCGCCAAATCAGTGCTAAAGTCTGTCAGGTTAGAGAACTACAAAACAGACCATTTCTTTAGTCAAACAACTAACAACCAAAATGTAATAGGCATGAAGACAGGACTATAAGATGACAGGAATAATGCTGTTGTTTTTAAAAAAAAAAGGAGGTTTAGTGAGTTTTAAAGTTAAGTAATTAAGAAAAAAGTTTGGAACAACATGAGGGTGAATAAATGACCATTTTAATTTCAGGGTGGAGTATCCCATAAAAAATGTGTATGAAGCATTCTCATGCTCTTCCAAACCCATATGATATATTTACTTTCATGGAACACAAAGAAATATAAAAATATTTTAACGAATGTTTGTGCTGCTGCTCTTTTCCATATAAAAACCATAAAAGTAACATAAAAGTAGTTGATAAGATTTGTGCATTATTAAGTCTTCTGCAGTCATACAATATTAACTCTTTCCCCGCCAGCATTTTTGAAAAAAGTTGCCAGCCAAGAACAAAATGCAAGTCATTTACTGAAAATCTTGCCCTCTACATGGCATGTAAATGTCACATTAGACTGATGCTCTCTGACAGTAGATGGCGCTTATGGAACAGCAGCACTGTGCCCATAAACACTACGTTAATATGCATTATACGGAGGCAAGAGGAAAAGAAAATGCCAGTCAGTGGTCAGTTGGTCAATGATCAGTTTATCTCAGAGACATTCATAAAAACCCCCAACCCCAAATCAATATTTAGGATTTTCTTATAATATTTTACGCATTGTGAACAGTGAGCTTACTCTGCCTCCTCTTTGCATCCATCCTCAGTGTCTCAGAACTCTGTTACTTGCCGTTTACAGACTTTGTACGATTTTCACACAAATGACAGTTTTGGAAAATGATTGAAATTAGGGCTGCATGATAAATCTAAATGAAATCGCAATCGCGATTAGGCAAATGCTGCAATTGACTTTCAGTGAAGCACGTTTCTATGATCAGCAGTAAATCTCCATCCGAAGGCCAGAGGGCGCTCTCACGCGGAAACTCCAAATACGCCCTGCAGAACAAATCCAGGAAATCCCTATAGCAGTAGCTGAATAAACAGAAGATTTAAAGGGGTCATATGATGTTGCTAAAAAGAACATTATTTTGTGTATTTGGTGTAATGAAATGTGTTTATGCGGTTTAAGGTAAAAAAAAAAACACATTATTTTCCACATAATGTACATTATTGTTTCTCCTCTATGCCCCGTCTTTCTGAAACGCGTCGATTTTTACAAAGCTCATCGGTCTGAAAAGCGAGGTGTGATCTGACTGGCCAGCTATCCAGTGCGTTGTGATTGGCTGAATACCTCAAGCGTGTGACGGAAATGTTACGTCCCTTACCATATTGAGATGCCGTGTCCCGTAGTGACGAGACAAAACCAATAAAACCCATTATAAACGAGGCATTTGATACATCCAGTGGGGACATAATTACGGATTATATGCTATATTAGTAGCTTGACAGTGAAATATGGCTGCTCCAGTATAGTAAATGCTGCTCCATCTGAAAGCACGCGATGGAGATTTACTGCTGATTACAGAATAGGGCTGAACGATTTTGGAAAATAATCTAATTGCGATTTTTTTTACCAATATTGCGATTGCGATTTAACATGCAATTATTTTTAAAGCTCTTTATGTTCTATATTATTCCACAAAGACAAGCTATAAATCATTGTATAGTATGACCAACACAATATTAGACAGATTAAACAAATGTTCTTTTCTACAGGCCAGGCCTATATGTTACGATGAAATTAGGTGATGCATGAATTGATATGAATGACATTTTTATTTAACAACTACAATCACAGTAGTATATTGACTGATTTGTTGAACTTCCAACCTTGTAAGCATGTAATAATTATGACAACATAAAGCACTGACAAATAAGCCTGGTGTAAACATTAATATGAAAGTCAGTAACAAATCGAGAAACTAAAGTAGATTGCAGAAATATAAAAACAAATCTGTTGCTTTACCACACTACTTTAGGTCATTCAAAGTCACTGTAATAAACATGTAAACATGTGGACTGCACTTTTTAAACACTGTCTGTTAACTTTAGACCAGTGGTTCTCAAACTTTTTTGGTCGCGCCCCGCTTTAAGCCTATAAAAAGAAATCTGCCCCCCCCCTTTCCCAAATCCCCATCCCACCTCAGACTTTCACTAAACATATGAAAAATTAATGTTTTTTTAATTTAAAAAACCTACAGGGAAAAAACACCTGCATCATTTGAAACATTGAAAAATAGCATAGATAGAATAACTGTTATTATTATTCTTCTCTCTCTGTTATTTATTTATTTTTTGTGGGTTTCATGCTGTCCGCTAATGCATAGGACACACACAGGTTTTCCTCCTCACCAACGACATTAAACACTGTGTCTACACTGGACGCGAGCGGCAAAATACAGTAGAACCCATTATAATCAGTGACGTGGTTTACACTGGATGCGGCGCGACGTGATATGACAAAACTCGACATTAAACTGATGCCTTGTTCTATTTATGACGTACTGACACAAAGTTAATATGATTTGCAACGGTCGCTTTGTCGCGTCCAGTGTAGAGCTGTTGCAGTGCGACGCGACAACTGTAGCGTCCGGTATAGACACGGTGACTGAAGCCGAGAGCAAGATATGCCTCGTCACATTTTATGCATTTAGCTTTTAAATGACCAGCACCTGCCTGGGTCCGTGCGACTTCATCTATGGCTTTTCTCTTCGCTTTCACAAACCGATCCATCTCCCATTCTAAGTTACGTCCTTTGGCTGTTTACTGTTTTATTTATTTTCTTTTTCTGCTGATGGCCCGCGCTCAACTTGAAGCAGCGCTGCTTAGACCGATGGGTGTGTGTCATCAAAGTACTGAGAGAGCTATAAGAGAGCGCGGA